CAGTGTCTTATTCCCTATTTCATTTCCAATGGTCACCAACAGAGCAAGAGGGAGCCCTTTCCTCCTCCCAAGACCCACTCCAAACTTATTCAAGTCTACGAGAGTCAAGATCAAACACCTCCCTAGCTCAGAAAGAGGAAGCATCCACACCCCCACCCTAAACTAAGAACTTTCACTCTGAGGTTTCATCCTCAGCCTCAGTATTAAGCCCTCTTCAGAATGACTGACAGTGCACATAACCATTCCCCTTAAGATAAGCATCTCTCTCATCTACAGGGTGTATTCTGGTCTTCAAGTCTGGAAAGGATAGCCTCTTAACAAGTGACACTGATAGATTACCCAGAGTCTAGATTACACAGTTTACCAGAGTCACCTTATTAAATATCCACAAAGGTAAATAATAGCAGTTTGGACAATGGCAAGTTAGTGATATAGACAAATTATTCTGTGCTATCAGACGACAGTAGAAATGCAACATCAAAGAATGTTCAAACTACCACACAATTGCACTCATCTCACATGCTAGCAAAGTAATGCTGAAGACTCCAAGCTAGGCTTCAATAGCGCATGAACTGAGAACTTCCAGATGTTCAAGCTGGATTTAGAAAAGGCAGAGGAACCAGAAATCAAATTGCCAACATCCGTTGGATCATACAAAAGCAAGAGAATTCCAGAAAAAAAATCTACTTCTGCTTTATTGACTATGCTAAAGCCTTTGACTGTGGATCACAACAAATTGTGGAAAATTCCAATAGAGATGGGAATACCAGACCACCACACAGCCTTCTGAGAAACCTGTATGCAGGTCAAGAAACAATAGTTGGAACTGGACATGGAACAACAGACTGGTTCCAAATTGGGAAAGGAGTATGACAAGGCTGTATACTGTCGCCCGCTTATTTAACTTCTATGCAGAGTACACCATGTGAAACGCCAGGCTGGCCATTAGCAAGAGTGCCGGGAAAAATGTCAATAACCTCAATATGCAGATGACACCACCCTTATGGCAGAAAGTGAAGAGCAACTAAAGAACCTCTTGATGAAGGTGAAAGAAGAGAGTGAAAAAGCTGGCTTAAAACTCAACATCCAAAAAACTAAGATCATGGTCCTATCACTTCAGGGCAAATAGATGGGCAAACAATGGAAACAGTGACAGAATTTATTTTCTTGGGCTCCAAAATCACCTCAGATGTTGACTGCAACCATGAAATGAAAAGACACTTTCTCCTTGAAAGAAAAACTATGACCAACTTAGACAACATATTATAAAGCAGAGACATTATTTTGCCAACAAAGGTCCGTATTATCAAAGCTATGATTTTTCCCAGTAGTCATGTATGAATGTTGAGAGTTGGACCATAAAGAAGGCTGAGCACTGAAGAATTGATGCTTTTGAACTGTGGTGTTGGAAAAGACTCTTAAGAGTCCCTTGGACTGCAAGGAGATCCAACCAGGCAATCCTAAATGAAATCAATTCTGAATATTCATTGGGACTGATGATGAAGCTTCAGTACTGTGGCCACCTGATACAAAGAGCCAACTCATTAGAAAAAACCCTGATGCTGGGAAAGATTGAAGGCAGGAGAAGGGGATGACAGAGGATGAGATGGTTGGATGGCATCACTGACTCGAACATGAGTTTGATCAAGCTCCAGAAGTTGGTGATGGACAGGAAAGCCTTATGTGCTGCAGTCCACAGGGTCGCAAAGAATTGGACACAACTGAGCGACTGAACAACAACAATGAAATCAGACTGTAGCGATGGTAGGGATACAGAGATATATTAGTGTTTTTCATGACATTTAAGGAACTTAGGCGATCTTAACATTTGTATAAAGAAATAAGAGAATAGACCAGACCAGAGTACAATCCAAGCCTGAGTTCATAATGAGCTCTGCCACTTACCAGCATTGACTTTGGGGAACACACTTAAATTTTTGACCTTCAGTTTCCTCATCTGTAAAGTGAGAATAATAGTTTCTACCATATAGGATTGTGAGGATTTACAGGTTAGTATTTTTAAGGTACTTAGAGCAGTGCCTGGGACATACTAACAACTAAAAACATTTATTATACATAATACAAAGTGTGTGTGTGTACTGGGTTGTGACCAAAAATTTTGGAAAAACTCAAAACTAGAGGAAGTAAGACATAAACTTAACATATGTAGGATATAGACAAGCAAAAGGCATGTGTTATGCTAGGGTGGGGACTAGAGCAGGAAGCATGGAGTATAGGGGTCTGGGTTTAAGTTTCTCCTTCCACATTCTGGGAATCATCAAGGGAGAAGAGGATAACATGAAGAGTGGAGTAAGTTGTTATTTTACTTTATGTGGAATTCTTTTGCATTCGATCCCCTTTATCAGGACTCAGAAGTTCCAAAAATGGTGCCAAACTGTGATGAAAACAGATGCACATTCAAGAAATAAAGCACATCTAGCAAGAAAGACTGTTGGGTAATTCAGTTTGTTAACGACAAGTGCTGTATAATAATTGTTTGTAGGTAACCATTAAAATATATCCCCAACAGCCATTTCTTTTTTTTTTTTTAACTCTTTTAAACTTTCTATTTTGTTTTGGATTATGGCTGATTAACAATGTTGTGATAGTTTCAGGTGCTCAGCAAAGCAACTTAGCCATAAAGACACATATCTATACTCCCTCAAATTCTGCTCCCATCCAGGCTGCCATGTAACATTGAGTGGACTTCTGAGTGCTACACTATAGGTCCTTGTTGGTTATCCATTTTAAATATAGTAGTGTGCACCTGTCCTTCCCAAACTCCCTAACTATCCCTCCCCACCAGGTAACCATAAATCTGTTCTCTAAGTCTGTGATTCTGCTTCTGTTTTGTAAATAAGTTCATTTGTATCATATTTTAGATTCTACATATAAGGGATGTCATATGCTATTTCTCTTTCTCTTTTTCCAACAGTCATTCACTATGGTTATTATTTTCACAGTTTCCATCTTTAAAAAATCTTATACCCACTTACTCAGCTGGGCTGAAAGCAAGTTACAGTTAGCTATTTAACCCCAAACTGAGATAAGGAGGGTGGACAGTATGATTTGAAGATCTCCGCTCCCTGAAAGTTGGAACTCAGCACACACAGGATGTCTGTGACTTCCGCCAACCAGCCCAACTACGTAAAGATCACTCTGAATTGGTTAGACCCATCTAACGTCGATCACTAGACAGGATTTTAACCCCATCATTTTTCTCTGAGCGCTCATCCAATGACTCCTTATTCATAAGACATAACCATCCAAAGTCACCTAATCTGTTGTGCTACGTGAACTGGGGATAACAAAAACGGAGGCTGGCTGGGTCCAACTGAAGTTAGTCTCAGCGCCCATGAAAGATGCATTCATCCAAATCAGTCCAAAAACAAACCTGCCAGGAAATTCTATACTGGTGATATAAAAGCATGATTCAGAATGAGAATGTAAGGAATCTGAAAAGATCACCATCAAGCAGGATGTCTTAAGATAGGTAATGTATTATTATAATCCCCATTTTATAGAAGAACCAACAAAGCCAAAAGAGATTAAGCAACTTGAATCATGAAATGAATAAAGGGCGAGGGAAATGTAATGCCCACAGCCAAACATCCCTGAATATTCTTGGTGCTGTATTGCTTAGGGCTTTCCTCATCTTTGTTCCTATTATTCAAGAACATAGTACGTGTTACAAATCAGGTACCAGCTGTATAAATAGGTACCTGACCTGAAAGAGATATGTGTCAATTACCTGTAGAGCTGGATGGCCTGAATTACAGTCCATGTGACAGAATCCTGTTGGCGTGATGTGAGTATACACTCACTGCAATTTCACACATAAGCTAAACAATAACAAAAAATACTTTCCTTCAGGTTGCCTGGTGATTCAGATAGAGGACATCCACCAAACTCATGGTTAGGGAAGATGAACAACAGGTTTGTCAACATTATACTTGGTGGAGAGTCAGTCACAGCTTTTCATGGAGAAGCAAGTTGTTTTGGTTTTTTTAAATGACACATCTGCATGTAGCTAGGAGGGGTGTGCCTATTCAGATCTGTGACTAGGACACCAGGAAGTTTAGCATTGGTGTTAATCCCATGAAGCAATGACCTTAAGTACAGGTGGCTGCCATGATGTCTATTATTAGGATCAATGAGATACAGTCAGAAGCAATGTTGCAAAATGGCAAGATGGAAGGCCAGTTTTCCCTGACAAAGTGCAAAGGCATGCTATAAACACTCACATGAATAAACAGCCTTAGCAGCAACCGCAACCAGGAGAAAAATGAGAGGAGGTTTTCCACAACAAAAGCAGCATTGTTCTCCTGTGGCCACCCTTAAATTCATCCTTTGTTTCAGAAGATGCTGAGGCTCCTCCATGGCACTGCGGTGTCCCACCCAGCCGTCTCCCTGTGGGCCAAGGGATGGGTTAAGTGGATTTAGAGTGAATTGTCCTTCTGAATGGAGATCCCACACCTAGTTCAATAGCAAAGTGTTCTCCAAGAAACAATGGGGTCCAGTAGGCCAAGATGACAGCTGGTATGGCAGATGTGGGCGGTCGATTCTCTTCCAGAGGCTGGCACATGTCTGACCTGGGGCAGGACAACTACTCTGGGCTCCCATTTCCTCATCTCCACGGAGGGGCTCCCCATGCCGGCACTGGGTGATGGTTATCACCGGAGACATGCACAAAGCCCTTCCATGAGACTTCCTTTTTCTTTTTCCAAGTCCGGGAGGCCAGAAACCCGCTTGCTAAGAGAAATCAAAAGCTTCCAAGAAAACACATATTGGTTGTGTAACAGACATGGATGGCACCAGACAACTGTCTGGATTCATGTAAAGTCAGCGGGAGAATGACACAAACAGGCGAAGAGGGAATCTCGGTAAACCCCCCTGCTGGGGAGGCCCTCATCATCCCATGACTTCGCAAGTGCTCTCTCTCCACCCCACCCCCCCAGGTGGGGGATTAATCATCTCTGCCACGTCACCAAGGTGTGTCAGGTCTAATTTCTGCCTTCTCAGTATCCAGGTCCGTGAGATTCAAAAACATTTATTAATTCAACAAGAATGTCTATTGAGCACCTCTTAAGTTCTTTGGCAGAATGAGATGGGATATAAAAGTCATAATTATTTAGTCAGCTTGAACAACATGCTTGACACTGAGGACATAAAAGTTGAATAAGACATGGCCCCAGGTTACCAGGGGCTCACAACCTAGTGACGAACCTGACAGGCAAATAGAGAGCACGGAGTCAGTGCCCTACTGGAGGCGGCCGAGAGTGTGAAGAAGTCGTGAGGAATCTCCTGCACTGATAAGGGGTGTGTAAGGCATCTCTCTCTCCTATTCTTGTACCGGCAGAAATTCTCGAGAGGAGCATGCTGTCTTCAGAGGGTCCCCACTCCACACCCCCTGACACGGTCAGGTAAGAATGAAAGAAAATAATTATAGGCGGGGTTCTGAGTGATACAATTTGGTGTAAGTTCAGTTAAGCTAGTAAAACCCATTTGTGAAAGAACTTCCTGTAAACAAGGAACCATGACTGTCTCCAACTCATGATGAATAAATGAAGTAATTTATCGCAACAGACACATTGCCCAAAAGAAAGTGGCTCACACAATAATATGTCTTTTATTTTTCCTGTTCCAGGGTGTGGTTAGGTGACTTTCCCTTGGTAAAAGGACTTTCGGGTCTGGGTACGTAAAGTTAAGCGCAATTGCAAAATTGAAGGACACAGCCCGAAAGTATTTGCAATTTGAAAGGGAGAAAAAAAATCCCTTGATGTTATAAAAACAAAACAAACACACACAAACCTGGTGAAAACATTTCTTTAGCTCATTGACTTACATTTTAAAACCTGTGATTATGTTTTGTGATATCTTATTGGGAAAGCATTTCCCAATACTTTCTTACGAACAGATACTGTACAAAACACAATTACAGTGAGAGATATTAATAATATGTTTCATTTTACTTCCTCATCTCCTTTCCAAACTAGAAGACTCCATTACCAAACAAATTCTATGAATATCGACCAATTTGTTCTATTTTCCTAAGCTTTGTGCCCCAGATAGTTCTATACAGATAAAGGTTTTTAAACTCTGCAAAGTGGTTTTCTTTGCTACAGTTTCTCCTTCTACTTAGAACAGTGAAATACTTTCAGATTTTAATAGATTAATCTAAAAACTAAATCTGAAAATTAGCTTCAAATTTAAACCTGAACTTGAAAATTCAAAGGAAAGTATTTGTGGTTTGAAATTATCTCTAGAAGTGAAGGTAAGGCTAGAAGGAGATAGGGGCTTGGGGAAGAAGGTGAACCCACCCATCCACCCTTCTCACTAGTCTTCTCCCATTATTAAGGTCACTGACATTCCTTTTTGAAGAAAATTAATTACAGGTGATTGATTTATAGAAAATAATGACTCACAGTTCTTTCCAAATTTGGGCGGGAGTAAGAGAAAGAGGGAGGGTGGAAATTCCTCAGTTTTGTTACTACCAGCTCTCCATAGCTGCTTTATTGTTTGCTCTTGGCTTTTCTCTTTTGCAAAAAAAAAAAAAAAAAAAAAACACTGAGAAAGGAACTGCTTTCAGTTTAAAAAATTATGTGAGAAATTGGAAAATAATAACCACTAATACCTTGAGTCATGTTTACTCTGCCAGACACTCTGCTAAGCACTTTATATTTATTAACCCACTTATATCTCACAATGCTATGAGGTGAGTAAATTATGAACCACACTTTACAGGTGAGGAGATGAGGCACAGAGAGATTAAGGAGGTTACCAAGGACACAGAGCTATCAAGCTTATATTTGAAGTGAGGCTGCATGGCTCCAGAATCTGTTTTAATTTGTTTTGTTTTTAACCATTAGACAGCCTTCCCTCTTTACTCTTTAATCCCTGTCTCTCAAGAATTTACGGAGCTGCAGGGTGCCTGGTGGTCCAGTGGTTAAGAATCTGCCTTGCAATGCAGGGGATGCAGATTCAATCTCTGGTCCGGGAACCAAGATCCCATGTGCACCAGAGCACAGACCCAGCAAACTAGAACGACTGAGCCCACATGCCACAACGAGAGAATCCATGCACTGCAACGAAAGTTCCCATGTGCCACAACCAAGACCCAGTGCAGCCAGACAGAGAAATAAATGTACGGAGCTGCTGTGCCTGGTGGGATGAAGGGGAGCATAGCAGGGATGTTCCAAGGACATTAAAATAGGACAAGGCTGAGGGAGGCGTCACCACCTGCTGAAGGGCAGATGGGCTGCCCACAGATTGTCTGGGTTTCCCATTTGAGGAGTTCTGGAAACAAAACTGACTGGATATTCAGGGAACCCGGGAAGCAGAGCTTCTCAGATCACACTTTTTTGGAGCTGGAGGGCAGCATGGAGCCTCCCCAGAGGGTCTCCCTGTGGAGTCAGCTGCATGTTAGGGCATGTTTCCAGCTCTAGGTTCCCAAACTGCCCTCCTTCAACTCCTGAGCTTCAGAGCTGTGAGGGGCGACCCGAACTTGACTATTCCCACCCTGACTTGAGCTTTGGCCGTTGGACAGTTTCTCCAAGAGCAGCGGCCACATCAAACCCACACGGGGCCCCAATGTGTCTCTCTTCACTCCATCTTTCCTTTATTACCATCGTGGGAACACACCTTGTCTCTCTCCATCATAGAACAAGCAAACACGGACCTCAGATGGGGCTGGGTGATGGTCCAGTTGGGGGAGGGGAGCAGAGGAGATTCTGAGTGTTCAAAAGGAGATGCGGCTTTTTGCAAAGTTTAGAATCCATCTTCTGGTTCCAATTTTCCTAAGCTTTGTGCCCCAGATAGTTCTATACAGATAAAGGTTTTTAAACTCTGCAAAGTGGTTTTCTTTGCTACAGTTTCTCCTTCTACTTAGAACAGTGAAATACTTTCAGATTTTAATAGATTAATCTAAAAACTAAATCTGAAAATTAGCTTCAAATTTAAACCTGAACTTGAAAATTCAAAGGAAAGTATTTGTGGTTTGAAATTATCTCTAGAAGTGAAGGTAAGGCTAGAAGGAGATAGGGGCTTGGGGAAGAAGGTGAACCCACCCATCCACCCTTCTCACTAGTCTTCTCCCATTATTAAGGTCACTGACATTCCTTTTTGAAGAAAATTAATTACAGGTGATTGATTTATAGAAAATAATGACTCACAGTTCTTTCCAAATTTGGGCGGGAGTAAGAGAAAGAGGGAGGGTGGAAATTCCTCAGTTTTGTTACTACCAGCTCTCCATAGCTGCTTTATTGTTTGCTCTTGGCTTTTCTCTTTTGCAAAAAAAAAAAAAAAAAAAAAACACTGAGAAAGGAACTGCTTTCAGTTTAAAAAATTATGTGAGAAATTGGAAAATAATAACCACTAATACCTTGAGTCATGTTTACTCTGCCAGACACTCTGCTAAGCACTTTATATTTATTAACCCACTTATATCTCACAATGCTATGAGGTGAGTAAATTATGAACCACACTTTACAGGTGAGGAGATGAGGCACAGAGAGATTAAGGAGGTTACCAAGGACACAGAGCTATCAAGCTTATATTTGAAGTGAGGCTGCATGGCTCCAGAATCTGTTTTAATTTGTTTTGTTTTTAACCATTAGACAGCCTTCCCTCTTTACTCTTTAATCCCTGTCTCTCAAGAATTTACGGAGCTGCAGGGTGCCTGGTGGTCCAGTGGTTAAGAATCTGCCTTGCAATGCAGGGGATGCAGATTCAATCTCTGGTCCGGGAACCAAGATCCCATGTGCACCAGAGCACAGACCCAGCAAACTAGAACGACTGAGCCCACATGCCACAACGAGAGAATCCATGCACTGCAACGAAAGTTCCCATGTGCCACAACCAAGACCCAGTGCAGCCAGACAGAGAAATAAATGTACGGAGCTGCTGTGCCTGGTGGGATGAAGGGGAGCATAGCAGGGATGTTCCAAGGACATTAAAATAGGACAAGGCTGAGGGAGGCGTCACCACCTGCTGAAGGGCAGATGGGCTGCCCACAGATTGTCTGGGTTTCCCATTTGAGGAGTTCTGGAAACAAAACTGACTGGATATTCAGGGAACCCGGGAAGCAGAGCTTCTCAGATCACACTTTTTTGGAGCTGGAGGGCAGCATGGAGCCTCCCCAGAGGGTCTCCCTGTGGAGTCAGCTGCATGTTAGGGCATGTTTCCAGCTCTAGGTTCCCAAACTGCCCTCCTTCAACTCCTGAGCTTCAGAGCTGTGAGGGGCAACCCGAACTTGACTATTCCCACCCTGACTTGAGCTTTGGCCGTTGGACAGTTTCTCCAAGAGCAGCGGCCACATCAAACCCACACGGGGCCCCAGTGTGTCTCTCTTCACTCCATCTTTCCTTTATTACCATCGTGGGAACACACCTTGTCTCTCTCCATCATAGAACAAGCAAACGCGGACCTCAGATGGGGCTGGGTGATGGTCCAGTTGGGGGAGGGGAGCAGAGGAGATTCTGACAGTGTTCAAAAGGAGATGCGGCTTTTTGCAAAGTTTAGAATCCATCTTCTGGTTCCATGCCTTCACTGCATATCCAGGAGGCTGAAGCCAAGTAGGGTGAGATGACTTATAGGGGGATCACTGGGCTGGTGAGAGACCAAGGGAAACTAGAACCCAGAGCAGGGGCCCTATGGCATCCCTGTAACAGCTCCCACCAGGTTTTGAAGGTGGCAGTTGGCTGTCACCCCGTAGACTCTTACTCAGATCAACTCCTGAACTCTTTGAGAGATAGTCACAGCTGAGGTTTCCACAGATCCCCTTCAGCCCTCACTCTCTGGGCCCAGAAACCACACTTTACCAGGTGAAAGATCACAAGTTACTGATTTCACCCTCCCCACATGCCTATTTCCATGCTCCTTTCTGTCCCACCTCCTCCTTTCCTCTCCATTTCTCTTCATTTTTTGCAAACAACTCTTGTGAAGTCTAGACCAGCACACCTGCTTCTTCCCATCAACTTCTCCTTGGCTCACCTCTGGGGGTTTGGTCTCATGTCTCCCTTCTCACTTGGCCATGATATAGCAGAAGGACTGAGTGTGACCCCACAATCCCTGCTGGTGGCCAGCGAAGACCACGTGGCTTGCATTCTGTACCATCCCATTTGGCCCCACAGCACCCGTGCAGAACAATGAGTGACCTCACAAACCCAGACAGATCTGCATCACAGGACCTTGGTCTCCTCCCTGCAGATACGTTTAGCCACAAAGTTGCCTTCATGGTCTCCATTCCACTCAAACAAGATGATAGCAACTGCTCTTTATTCATCACTCTGTGGCAGGACTCTTGACAGGCCCTTTGCCTACATCACAGCAAACTTGATGAGAAACCTATGAGATGTTCGTATTCTCATCATTTTGCAGATGAGGCAGCTGAGTCGTCTTAAGCCATGAGTCCTTCTCCCTCAGAGTTATTAGATGCTGAAGTCAAGGCTGAAACCCCAGTCTGTCACGGACCCCATCCAAGCTCTTCCCACTGCAGCATCTTCACCTTTGAGTCAGTGTTATAAGTCATTTTAATTTCATGCATCTCACTGGAGAAGCTTCTAATGAATTAACTGATCCCGGTATTTTTACACAGGGCTCGGCTCTGGTTCCTTGCCTTGCCCATGTGCCTCTCTGCCCTTCCTGCCCTGAAGGGCTCTCCTGGCCCTTGCTGTCTGGGACTCCTTCTTGTCTTTGAGTCTCTCTAGAGGAAGTAATTAAAAGCAACAGAGGACAGGGACTTCCTCCTCAGCTCTTGCTCTTCCCTCTCTCGCCACTCAAGTTTTGTTTTCTCCAGGTGCCGGGTTCTCCCAGTTCTGTGTCTTACGCCCCTTCAAGTTTAAAATTCTGGCCTTTTCTCAGGTGCCTCAGGGGAAAGCCAGTTCTTGGAGGCAGGCCCTCTGGCTCTTGGTCAGCACACAGTTTGCCTTCTGCCTCCTGGTTTCCACTCTACGCTCATCAAATAATGTTTGCAGGGCAAACATCCCCCCTCCCTCCCAGGCCACTGACCACTTTGCTTCCCTCTTACTGCACTGCCCTGTTGGAAGGAATACTGTAGGGTGAGCATCGTGTTTCTGCCAGGACCTGGCTGAGACTCTGTTGAAGCCACAAGGCTTGTCAGGAGCAGTGCTCAGGCCAGAATTTCAACTTGAGACAGTGGATGGTTTCTCTTGGAGTCTAACAGTTTATCCAATACATGAGAAGTCTGCAAACTTTGCTTTCAGAGTGGAGTTGAAGTGATTTCCCACTAAATTAGGATAATGGTGGTCTAAAAGGTGGGGACTGAAAAATAATAGTGGACTTTTTATCATTTTTGTTTCTTTCATAACATCTTCTAAACTTTTAAAGATCCCTCCTACTACTCATCTGAACCAAATAAATAATTTATTATAAAATACTATCAAAAATATATAAATATATCTAAGCATTTAATATCTCAAGCTTTTTTAAACTATTATGCAATATAATATACATATACAATGGTACTGCAATTTCTGCTAACAAAGTCACTACTATCTAAAATGGAATTTATTACATCAAAATTTAATTTCATGATTTTCCCCTGGCAGCCCCTGAACTGAATTTCCTTAAGGGAAGAATGGGAGGGTGGCTGGGTCAAGGAGTGACCGAGTTTGCTTGTTCCTCGCTAGAATAATTCAAATGCAAGATTAATCTTAGGTGGTTTGGATCAGAGTACCTGCCCTGATTGCCAAGGACACTGGAGCTTCCTCTGTGTTGCCAGGGATGTTTGAAGCCAAGGATGGGAGGAAGCCTGCAGCAGGAGGCAAGGAAGGGGAGAAGAGGTCAGAGCAGGCTGCACCAAGACTCAGCTTTTCTTTCTGCCCCCAGCTTTTTTTTAACCTTTTGCTTTGTGTCTGTTTCTTCTCTTTTCTCCCACTAGGCTTCTCTAGATGACCATTATTGATACATTCAGCTCTCACTCAGAAATGTGGGGAAGAGGCAGCACATTGCAGTGATGGGAGAGAAACTGGTACCTTGGCCACTACAGTTTGGAATTACCTATTCACTTTCTTGGATGTCAACACCTTCGGAATAGACATGGGGAGAAAAACTCCAGCTGCCTGACTATCTTCGAGTACTTTGTGAGTTTGCCTCTTTGGTGAATTCCAAAGATACTCAACACATTCACAAAATAACCACCTCATTCAGCAGCGAACAGTGAAAAGGTAAAGGCCCCAGAGTGCTTCTCTTTCAGGCTTCCATGGCTAGATTCTTCCCTGTCTCACCAGAGTATTAAATTCAATAGCAAACCTACTCGATAGCAAACCGTCTCTTCCTCTGGGTGTACGAAAAACGAGAAAGGTCACCCACTGATTTCAGTAGTGAAACTTTTGCTCATGGAAGGCCAGACGTGCGATGCGGTGGGCAGCGTGCAGACAAGCAGGAAGCTGCGTGTCATAGAGTGACTTGGTGTTCACGAAGCTGGCAGCGGCAGCCACCGGCGTTGATAGGCAACACTCTCCCTCCTCAACAATACCAAGTTCCTCTTGAAATTTGGAAGCAAGGTCTGGCAAGGATGCTGCCTCTTCTTGAGGATGTAAGTGCACAGCTGAAGTCTGTTTCCAGAGTAAGAGGAGAGCAAGGTTCCCAAAGCAGCCATAGGCAGACACCAGAGCAGGCCTTGATCACCCTGAAAGGTGAGCACTAAACCTCGTATGATGCTCACACTGTCTCTCCCACCCCTATCCTGATTTAATTGATCTGGGTTGGGGACCCAGAGCCTTAGGGTTTTGTAAACCAACCCAGCTGATGGGCATGGGCAGCCAGGATTGAGAACCAGCTCCCTGGTCAACCGGATGACTTGCTGCAAGTCTCACTCAGGAGCTTGGCAGCCCCTTTAAGAGCAAAAAAAAAACAAAAAAGAGCCTCTTTTCACTCATTTGGTGCCAGAGACCATGTTCCCCGTACCTCATTTTTTTGCACTTGCTCTCAGTACAGGAAATGGTGCATGTAACTCCTAAGGAAGATGAGGCCAGGGTTCTCAAGAAGCCTGAACTCGGCCGCTCGCTGGGCTGGTGCACAGTATGGGACACAAATGACCTTCAGCCCAGAGACTCAAAGAGAGAAAGCCCACATCCCCAGGCAAGTTCCTTCATGCCTCTGGTCTCAGTGTCTTCTTCTGTTAAATAGAGGATTGGATTCACTAGATAATCTCTGAACTTTTTCTAGCTTTAAAAATATGTTAAGTGTCTGATGTTTTAGTCAATGCATCTGAACATATCCATCTATACTAACTGGTTCCTTCCACCTACAAGAAAAAAAAAAATCATCTCCAGGAGGTCTCAAGTATAAATTCTTAGTTTGAAAAGCCAAAGGATTTTTTAACTATTTGCAGCTAAATTTCATCTTAAATGTCTGAGCTGAAGCAAGTCTGGTCAAGGCTTACACTGGCAGAAAGTAAAATGGTGCCCAATTCTGTTTTGATGCACCTCTGAAGTACATGTTCCAGGGGAAGAATAAGGGACTGGGGCACATTTCATATTTTGCACAGAGCCCTAAGTACACTATTGTAATAAAGCTTCCTGAAAGAACCTGCTAAGCTTTTCCTGACACAATGCTCTTGAGAAATTGCCTAAGACTATGGATATCTGATGGCAGATTTCAAGGCCTAGGCTCCCAGGTATGCTTGATTCACATGCAAATCTGACCATGCCTGCTATTTGTCACCAGGCAGGAAAGGGACATGGATGAAGTGGGGCTCAGAACCCTAAGAATTCAAAATATCCAAAAGTGAAACTGGCAGTTTGCCATCCTGTCTATACACATGGATTTCCTTTTCTGACTAATTTCTTTTGTAGAAAGAGTAATTACCTTTATTACTAACATTGCCTCTATTACTACCCCTAGGCAAATCATTAATAGTCAACTCTTTCACTCAATCATCTTTCCAGCGTTTGAACTTTTACTCCCTTAAAAAAAAAAAACCTCACAATAGATAGAGAGGCAGGCACATATATATCTATTTATACATACAGGATTATAAGCGAATACACACCGTCATCAACATTGGTATCAGCCATTCACTTTATTGAGCACCTATCGTGGTCTCTGCCCTCTAGAACCTTGTAGTTTGACTATGGGGCAGGGGAGGGGATGAATGAGAGTACAAAATATCCATAAAACAAGATAGATATCCATGTATAGCATAAACTGTCAGTTCTTAAAGGATGGTCCCAGGGACTTCTAGGGATCCTAAGGCTCTCTCAGGGAGTCCACCAAGGAAAATCTATTTCTATTATAATACTAAGAGCTTATTTGCTTTTTTCACTCCATCTCTCATGAGTTTTCTAGAAGCTACATGATCTGTGACATTGCAACAAATTGAATGCAGAAGCAAAGAAGGACTCCAGCTTTCTTTTATTAAGCCAGAAATTCAAAAGACTGGTAAAACCGGGGGTGGTGGGGGGGAGCATGTCCATCTTCTCATTAAATATTTTGGCTTTAAAGCTTTTGCCTAATTTTTCCAGTAAAAATGTGTTAGTAACATTAATATGTAATGAGTTTATTACTGCTACTGTCAAATGAATTAATAAAATTAAAATTTTTTTCTCAGTTTCCATTTTTAATAAGGTATAAACATCAATAGATACAATCCACATAAACAAAAGTTTTTTGGGATCCTCAGTACGTTTTGGGTCCTGAGTCAAAAGTCAGACTTGCTGGCCTAGGTAATGTCCTTTGCCTGGAAAGTTCTTTTTCCCTTCCTCTCTGCTTCATTCAGGTTTTACCTATTTGATCAAGGCTGAAGGTCACTTCTTCCCTGAAGCCTTTCTGACCCCCTGTCCCTTCCTCAGTCACACAGAAGGGGCCTAATAGTTTTTCAGATGCCTGGTACACACCAAATACTGTCTTAGGAGTTTTCACATATGCTGAATGTTAGCTCTCACTCATGGGATCTCCTACGCCTCTGCTTCTCATGGGATATTCTTACTTTGGAAAATATATGCTATCATCTCTTTAAATTATAAGCTCCTTGAAAGATCTATGCCTACTTTATCTTTGTGTCCTAGAAAATGATAAGTAGATAATTAATGCTAAATAACAAGAGTGACTGGGGCTTTAAGTGTATAGGAAGGAATTCAGAGGAAACACCTACCCTGAGGATACATGGTGAAGAAAGTGAGCTTGAGGTAGATGTTAAATTCTCTAAAGCTGGCATTATTAACATCTGTATGATATGTAAAGGATCAGCTAAAAGAGTTTGGGCAGTTTGATCATTTTCTTTGTAGACTTAATTTGGAGAAATGATCCCATTAAGCCTCTGGAAGATTAAGAGAGAAGTATTAACATTCTGTAGCTTATTACCCCAAAACTCAACAGTAAAGGTAAAACCAAGCTGAATTCAGTAGGGAGGCATAGTAAATTACCATCACTTCCTACACGGGTACCAACTTTGTGTTAAAAAACCCAATGCTTAGTTATCTAATACAAAATGCACATTCCTAAAAATAACCCAACTTCAAGTTTTGAGAGGTCATGGCTTTTTAAAAAAGCATATTTTTTTTTTGTAAAAAAATAAGGTCACTAGGTCTGGTAAAAGTTGCATCTAATTATTTTTTTAAAAATCTATTCCCACATATCAAAGTAGTTTTTCACATTAAGTAAGTGCCTACCTCTTCTTTACAAATAAGCATAATATTTTCCTGACAGATACACCCTATTTTCCATCCCCACTCAAAGTTCTATAAGTCTTTAAACATTTTAAACTTTCCAAATTTTTGAAATTGGTCAAATATTTTTTTCTTTATATTGTAGTGGTTACAATATATTAATACCTAATTATTTAAATATAAAACTACTTGATTTTTTTTTATAAAACAAGTTTTGTCTTTTATTGTGTTCCAATATACAATTTTGCATAGTACCATTATTATTTTAAACAATAAGGAAATCAAATTAGTGTTTTTGAGCTCTACTTCTCAGTGTAGAGATTTACCTTAAAAGGTACAAATCAAGCACACTAGTGTGATTTTCCATGCACTTTCAAGTCGCCTAAATATTTATAAATATGTAGGTACCCTGTTTGAAAATATCAACAGTTTGGTGTCAGAAAGAAATTCTGCAACCAGCCCTATAGGGAATAAAATTTAATTAAAATGTAATTTGCCTTCTAATACATTGACAATTGACAAAACAAAACAAAAACCCAAAACCAAAAAAAAAAAAAAAAAATTACCCAATAACCAGAAAGCTGACACCCAACCTCTCTGGAGCAGGGTGGGTTGGAAATTTGATGAGGCACAGGTTCGATCTCCATACAAGAAAGGAAGGCAGCAAGTGCACCCTCCTCCTCATGGGAGCCACTGTCCGAGTCACTAACATGTTCAGTGTGTTCTATCTGCTTAGAGTTTGTTAAAAAAAAAAAAAACAACAGACAGGGAGGGGATGGTTTAGGTGAAATATGACACCTGATGAAACTATAAAAATATCTGCTACCAGTAGCTAAATAACAGAGTTCCGACATTGTGAGTTTTCTTTAGCATATTTTTGACACAGAGTATAGCCAATACGTATTTAACAATTAGGGGAAACATTTCCTGTACAGTGTCATTCATGGTAGACATTTTCTTAAAAACAGTTCATCAAAACACTATTTTATTAGAGGTCAAAAACCCAGAAAGAAAAATAAGCTTGTAAAGTTATTTGTATTGGTATCACCTCAATGTAATGAAATTTTTCTATAAGTTTTCAGAAAGCGTCTCTCTAATTTTTACTTAAGTACCCTATGTATTCTACAGGCAACATTTGTTATCTTCCAAACCAAGCACTTTGAAGGTTCTTATATAAAATAAACTTTGCCTCTCTGCATGGGCATACATCTGCTTTTAGTATATGTGTATACGCCCCACCATCACCCCACACCATGACACAGAGAGGCAGCAGAGGGATGGTAGGAAAACTATGGATTTAGAGGCAGAAATCTTAGGAGCCAGTTATGATTTTGTTCAACAAATTATACATGAGCAAAGAACTTAATTTTCCTGAACTCCAATTTCCTTGTTTATAAACTGGTGATAGTAATTACCTCTCTGCCTATCTCAGAGAATCATAATATGCCTCAAAAAATGACATATAGGCAAATATTTTGTACACAGATATGATTTTCACAAAATAGTTAAATATATTTCTTACACTTTAAGGGCTCAGTTTCAATAAGAGCTATCTTTGTTAGGCAAAAGTTGAGTTATGAAACTAAAAGTACAACTTTCCATATGATGTATAGAGTTTCCTGTTCTGTGTTTTACAAGGCATGTCCCAGATGGGTGGCTATTTATTACCATATGACCAACTCAAGCTTTGATTGCAGTTATTAGAACATGAAAATATTGACAGAGCTGAGATCCCTGTTGTGAAATATGAAGACCATGAAAATCTAAAATGTCACAGGGCATCACTCTTCACTCACAGGTTCTAACAGCTAAAAAGTTTGAAAATAGTTTCAACAAAGTGATTACAGTTAGAAATAGATTAAATATTAACTTATTGGTGAATTTACCAACTAGACTTGCCTGCTGGTCCTCAGTGGTCATTCTGAGATGTAGACTTTGATGTGCCCATGAGGCTGACCAAGGCCGAGGAGAAGGGAGTCAGTCCTCCTTTCTGGGGCACCACCCTGGCATGCTGCTGGGCAGCAACCCAGGTGCCTGCCCCTTCCACTGCCCTGGAGTGGTACCAGAGCCATAGCTCAGGACCTGGGGTGGGACCACCCTTCCAACCCTCCCTTCCCTTTCAGCCTTTGCCTCAGACTTCTCTTCACATCCAAAGAGCTTCTGGCTGTCTGTGAAACTGCTGCTCTGGATCCAGGTTTCCTGTGCCTCATATAAGTGACAATAAACTCAACTGATCAACTAAGTTCAAGGGCCTCACTCTGAAATGATTACAGGGGGCTAGGCAGAAAAAGGAAATGGTAAGGGACTTTCCTGGTGGCTCAGAGGCTAAGACTCCTCACTCCCAATGCAGGGGGCCCTGGATCCAATCCCTTGTCAGGGAAATAAATCCCACATGACACAACTAAGAGTTCGCATGCAGAAACTAAAGATCCCACGAGCCACAACTAAGACCTGGCACAGCCAAATAAAGCAAAAAAATTTTTTAAGTAAATGATAAAATGAACCAAGCACAGTCTGTTACCCTGGAGAGTGCCTGAATCCTAAGTGGGTACAATGACCTCTGAGCTGTAGCTAGTTGTAACCAGACAGAAATACAGGCCCCAGTGTGGCCAGAATTTATCAGGAAAAAACCAGAAATCTGCCTTTTTAGCTAAAATCCTGACTTTTTAAATGTTGACCAGTGAATCAAAGTATTTTAATTTATTTTTAAAAATGTCCTTTGTTTGCTTTAAACTCTTAGGAGACAAAACACACA